AACACATACAATTGAAAATATATGGGCATATATTTTGCATTATCCACTGCACCTATTGCGCTCCCAATGTTCACTGAGGCCCCTGTGGGGATAATGGCGCCTGTAATGGAAATGGCAGGAAAAGTTAGATATGACATTAGAGAAGACTCCCAAAGTTTGATTAGACATGGGAGGAGGGGCGATGGAGACCATGTGGTCCATCAGATCTGGTTCAGCGCTGGGCTGAGTGAGCATTTTGACTTATTAACATCACAAATAGAGATAGGGGACTAGACTGGAGGTGACGTGGAAATGGGACAAGGAGCAAGGACTGACGAAGACTGACGAAGACGAAGGGTAATTAGATTATTGAATGTGATAGTGACACTACTGTCACCATCCATCCATCCATCCATTTTCGTCCGCTTATCCGGGGCCGGGTCGCGGGGGCAGCAGCCTAAGCAGGGACTCCCAGACTTCCTTCACCCCAGACACGTCCTCCAGCTCCTCCGGGGGGACCCCGAGGCGTTCCCAGGCCAGCCGAGAGACATAGTCCCTCCAGCGTGTCCTGGGTCTTCCCCGTGGCCACCGGGAGGGTGGGACATGCCCGGAACACCTCCCGAGGGAGGCGCCCAGGAGGCATCCGGAACAGATGCCCGAGCCACCTCAACTGGCTCCTCTCGATGTGGAGGAGCAGCGGCTCTATTCCGAGCTCCTCCCGTGTGACTGAGCTCCTCACCCTATCTCTAAGGGAGCGCCCAGCCACCCTGCGGAGGAAACTCATTTCGAGCGCTTGTATCCGCGATCTCGTCCTTTCGGTCACTACCCAGAGCTCATGACCATAGGTGAGAGTAGGAAAGAAGACTGACCGGTAAATCGAGAGCTTCGCCTTTTGGCTCAGCTCCCTCTTCACCACAACGGTCCGATACAGCGACCGCATCACTGCCGAAGCTGCACCGATCCGCCTGTCAATCTCACGTTCCGTCCTTCCCTCACTCGTGAACAAGACCCCGAGATACTTGAACTCCTCCACTTGAGGCAAAGACTCTCCACCCACCCGGAGAGGGCAAGCCACCTTTTTCCGGTCGAGAACCATGGCCTCAGACTTGGAAGAGCTGATCTTCATCCCAGCCGTTTCACACTCGGCTGCAAACCGCCCCAGTGCACACTGCAGGTCCTGGCTCGATGAAGCCAACAGAACAACATCGTCCGCAAACAGCAGAGATGAAATCCTGTGGTCCCCAAACCGGACCCCCTCCGGCCCCTGACTGCGCCTAGAAATTCTGTCCATAAACACAATGAACAGAACCGGTGACAAAGGGCAGCCCTGGCGGAGTCCAACATGCACCGGGAACAGGTCTGACTTACTGCCGGCAATGCGAACACAGCTCCTGCTCCAGTCATACAGGGACCAGACAGCCCTTAGCAAAGGGCCCCGGACCCCATACTCCCAGAGCACCCCCCACAGGACACCACGAGGGACACGGTCGAATGCCTTCTCCAGATCCACAAAACACATGTGGACTGGTTGGGCAAACTCCCATGAACCCTCGAGCACCCGATGGAGAGTGTAGAGCTGGTTCAGTGTTCCACGGCCAGGACGAAAACCACACTGCTCCTCCTGAATCCGAGGTTCGACTATCGGCCGAATTTCTCTCCTCCAGTACCCTGGCATAGACCTTACCGGGAAGGCTGAGGAGTGTGATCCCCCTATAGTTGGAACACACCCTCCGGTCCCCCTTCTTATACAGAGGGACCACCACCCCGGTTTGCCAGTCCAGATGTACTGTCCCCGACCGCCACGCAATGTTGAAGAGGCATGTCAGCCAAGACAGCCCCACAACATCCAGAGACTTAAGGTACTCAGGGCGGATCTCATCCAACCCCGGAGCCTTGCCAACCACCTCAGTGACTTCGGCCAGGGTGATGGATGAGTCCGCCTCCGAGTCCCCAGCCTCGGCCTCCTCCTCGGAGGACGTGACGGTGGGATTGAGGAGATCCTCAAAGTATTCCTTCCACCGCCGGACAACGTCCCCAGTCGAGGTCAGCAGCCCTCCCCCCCACTACTGTCACTGCACAGGCAAATCGTAAAATGACTGAAATAGCTAAAGAAATAAAATAAAATAAAGGGGGTGCTTATGCAGGGAGCGTACATAATCATCATTTGTTTTCACTTAGACCAGTGGATGGGGGATGGGAGAGTATGTTCCTTTTAGAGTGAGAGACCCCACAGCCCTGGTTGATAAATTGCTAAAGTTATACAAGGGTGAGGCTCCATGGCTATCTGAATTTACTAATGTTTCAGGCTGTAAAAGAATTGTTTCTAAAACCTGTAGATACAGCTCCAACTGTCCTGTGAAGGACTCTGGGTTAGATCCTGTGGAGCTTTATGCTAAATGTGTAAATGCTTGATCATGGCCACAAGGCATCACTATATAATGTGTATACATAGAGGATATACTTAACGCTGAAAATCAAAAATTGCAAATTCAGTTGTTAAAATTATAACTGAGTAGGGCTAGAGCTGAAGTTGCAAAAGAGAGAAAGGAACTTTAAAAAGCTACTCAGACAGATTTATCTGCTATCATGTGGCAGGGTTCATGGTAGGATGGTAGGGGCAGAGAGCATGGAAGAGGTCAAACGCTGGTTGTGGTCCACCCAATGCAGGGGCCCTCCCCAAGGCCCGCCTCCAGCTGGAAGAGGATGGCCTCAAACTTCTGAACAGACCCCACCCCACCGCAGCAGGGGACAGTTCCCAGGCCATGGCAACATGTTGGTGGACATGGAGGCTACTCTGGTGAATAGCAAGCACCACCTGATGGCCAATGCTCTACTGAATGGACAGAAAGTGAGTGCTCTGGTGGATATGGGTGCTACTGCTCTCTTAATGTGCCTTTGTCGTCCTCTATGATATTAAATGCTTCTATCTCACTGGGACCACACAAACTCTGCCTTTTACTCGACCTCTGAACACTCATATTGCTGGACAGACATTTTTTCACCAATTTGTGCATTCTCCACAGACTCTGGTGAAGGGGAGAGATTTGCTGATTGCAATGAGAGCTACTATTGCATATGGACCTAATGGGATTATGGTGACTGTTCCTGATGGACAGGCTCTCTCCTGTAATCATTTTCAATCTTCTAAGGGACAATGGCTGATGGTTCCTACAGATCCAACATCATGTGTGGACATTTACTGGGCTTTGCTGAATCCAGAGTCATCGGGACATACAAAGGGGGTGTTTTCCACTTTCCTAGTGTGGAAGCTTTGGATATGTTCTCTTGCAACCTCCATTTGGAATATATTTCCTCACTACATCTTCTCAAATATGGGTGGTCTTAATTTTCTTCTCCTTTGTAATTATAATCCAGACAAAATTCCTGTAAAACTATCAGCATTCCACAGGCTGACTCTATTAGCATGGGCACATATACAAACATAACTTCTCTCCTCATAATTTTTTTATATGGAATAATAAGTACATTCTATACAAAAACAAATCATTATTTTATCCTCACTGGTTTGACAAAAACATCCTTTTGGTGGGTCAGCTTTTTGACAGTAATGGGCATTTACTGAGGTACAATGAATTCAATTTTAAAAACAATCTTTCTGTAACTCATCGGGAATATGCCATTGTCTTTGATGCGGTGACCAAAGAAATATGTCAACTATTTAAAAATATTGTTATTGATAAAAATGTGTGCTCACTCTCTGTAACTGACAACACCATAGGAAAAGTTTGTTTTGGTCATGTTTGTAGGAACAATCGGAAAATACGTGCTCTGTTCCAACAAGAGTCTGTGCCCTCTGCCAGGTTTTACTGGAAAAAATTTTGTCCCTGACACTATATGGAAGAAAGGATGGACTGTGAATCAAAAATTTATGATTAATAATAAGATGAGGGATGTCTCCTTTAAACTTATGCACAAAATTTACCCTACTAACCAATTTATGCTAAAATATATTAAAACAATTAATCCTAACTGCACATTTTGTAAAGAATATCCTGTATCCTATATCTTTTTTGGAAATGCACTATTACTAAAACATTTTGGAAAGACTGCTTAAAATTTATCAAAGATCATATAGACCCTAACTTTTCATTAAAATTTGAACATATTATTTTTGGTGTACATGAAAAGAATTTAGACCCAAATAAAAGAATGGTAATTAATTTAATTGTTGTATTTGGCAAATTTTATATTCACAAATGTAAATTCTCACACACTTCTTTATTTTTTCCTGTTTTAATTAAGCAATTAGAATTATACTTATCGTCTGTCTCTAAAAGTGTAAACAGAAAAGCTGTATTGATATATGAGAATTGTATGTCCATGAATATGTTTTTACAATGTAACACTGGCGATTAAAGTTTTCTTACATGTACGCCTCCCCCTGGCATTCTATTTGTTATCTTATGTGTATATTGTTATGTTATTTTCTCTATTACAATTTGTAATTTAATAAGTAATTTTTGATATTAAAAAAAAAAAGAAAAAAAAGAAAACGCAGACAGTGTATGGATCTAATATACACACAGACTTTAAATATGATCTAGATCCTGTTACCAACACGGACACAACAGTATCTCCCATTTACATGACAGCTTTAATTCACATTCAAAAGAATTCATCAGATAATAAATAATAATATTAATACAATAATAATTTTAAAGCGGAATTAAACACTTAATTCCTAATGATTATTCGGAATTAAATTTAAATCCGAATTAAGTGGGTAGTTTATTCAGATTTTAAAACCGAATTAATTTATTCCGCGATTGTGTAAACGTTTATTCCACTTAAAAATAAGTGGACTGAAATATGGTGATTGTAACTGACGATAATGTCAGTATATTTGTTTTCAGGGTAATAAGTGAGAAAATTATTATTTTATTTGTTTACATATTTAAGATGTGTTAGAACACCACAGTTATTAATTTTATATTTTATTTGTGAAAATATTTACTTTTTGAGTTATGTGACCTTTTACCTTGCCCCCGGAAGTAAACAAGAGAGAAAACTAGTAGCCGCGATAAAGAGAGAAAAAGACGAAAAAGAGAAACAGAAAATGTGTAAAGAGATATGATATAATATAATGCAAAATGAAAGACACGCTACTTTAACTACCGCTGGTGATGTATAGGCGAACACGGTAAATATTGTTTTCAGTTCTGCAATTATTTAAAGGCATTTATGTAAAGCTGAGACATTTTCTGTGTCTGTCTTTATTTTAGTTTTCACGGTGTTTCAATGTGTTGATGGAGTTGAGGATTACTACTAATAAATATTGACACACATGATCATCAGTGCGAAGTGTGAAGTCCTTTCTTGCGAAGAAAACCAGTGGAGCTACAGTGATAAAGGTTCGTGTCCCCGTACCTCTGTTTCCCGGTGCCTATGTGTAATGATATACAGGTCACAAGAGGGCGCTGTCGCGCTTTCAGTGTTTCTCATGCTACCGTGCACACGCTGTAGTAAGTCACATTTCATTACATTATGTAATTGTGAAAGACATCGATGTCCCCGTTAACACCGCGAGCCGTCCTCATCCCAAGTTACCATCATGAAGTCATAAAACAACAGCATGTGGCTAACTTTGTACGCAACTCATTAGGGTGAGCATCCGTATTTCGGTCGGACAGTCCTGTTTTAGAGCCTTCTGTCCGGACCTCTGTTATGCGTCCTCAATTTTGACATTTTATCCTCATTTCGGACCCTCGTCACAAATCCCCGCCCGTACTGCACCTGTGATGCTGTGATAACAATGTTTGAAACTGTTTGTGTTGAACAAAAGCAAATGCCTAAAAGGAAGACGTTCTTCTAACATGCTTGGTGCTCAGAGCATCGTTTTGCCAACAAGAACACCAAAGGAGAACACTATGCCTTGTGTAAACTGCTGTGTTGACATTGATGTGAGTAGCCGAGGTAAAGGTGCGTTAGAGACACGCACACACACTCCACATGGAGAATACTAGCAGTGCTGCCTACTCGTCTTCAACCTCTTTTTTTTTGCCCCATCAGCAACCAAAAGAACATTTACATTTTGTGCTCTATATTCTGTATGACAAAAAAACCTGTAGCGATGCAAGTATGTTCCTTAAATAAATCCATGGCTCGAAAATGGTGTTGTGTTCATCAAGTGACCTGTGTGTGCCACATACAATCATGTTGTTTGTCTTGAAACTGAAGAAGTGTGAAAATGATCATCATAATACTAATATAATATAATAAACAATAATAGAATCAGAATAATGATGATAATAATGAGAATAGTGACAAGTGCTTGTATCATGCTGTTTTTAGACATTTTGTTGTGCTCTGTGGTTGCCCCCCACCCCTCCCCCTTGGTTCCGTTACTGTCCTCACTTTTGGGCCGAAGTGTCCTAATTTTCAGAGTCAGACCGGTGGTCACCCTAACCAGGACTAAACCAGGACTAAACCAGGACTAAACCAGGACTAAACCGGGACTGGAAAAAAAAAAAAACTATACCATGTAAACCAGAACTGAACCAGAGCTGAACGAGGAATAAACCAGGACTAAACCAGGTCTAAAACAGGTTTAAAGCAGACTTACGGGGACTTAGAGTTTTAAGTGTACATGGCATAATCTACACAATGCGCACTTGGCTGCGTAAGATGGTCATTTATTCATGTGACTTGGGCAGTGAATGAAGTCTGACGCTCACTTCACAAACAACCAGTGGTGTCTTACAGGTTAGTACAGGGTAAACTGCACATCATTGTTTGTTTTCACCTCTGTGTCTCCATTTCCATGTGGATTTAAATGTTACAAGTTAACTTTTACATTTAATGAATGAGGCAGCAAGCTGACGGAAACTTTCAGCAGCTCTGTCTGTAAACTGAAGTCCTGCTGCAGACGTTCACTGTTGTCTTTTAGCTCACTGACTCATAGGCAGATCATTGTTGATTCATGTGTTGATTCAGGTGTCCAATATGTTGATCGCGATCTACCAGTTGATCTCCAAGCTCGTGTGGGCAGATCGCAGTGTCGTAGGACTCGTCTCGGACTCCATCGCGTTTGGAGTCGGTCTTGTCTCTTACTCCAGGTCTGACACTCGACAAGTGTGATCATATTTCATTACGGCCGCTGCTGTTGGCAATAAACTTGTATCCGCGTGCGGGAGCGTGCGGGAGGGTGCGGGAGCGTCTCTCAATTTGAGGGAAGACTGCAGTATGACCTGATGATACAAGAATCCAGTGCCCAGTGAGGTTCATTTGGTCTTCCAATAATTGATGTTATTATTATGTTATTACAGGTATGAAAACAAACTGAAAAAAGAACCTAATAACATAAGAATCCATTGCGTTTCAGAACATGTCTGTAGATGTTAAACTACAAAATCAAACAAACACAAGTACAGAACTTATAAGCCAGTCCTGGGAGCCAAAGAGCTGTGCCTGAGTGTGTTTTAAATGTAGAAAATGTAGAAATGTAGAAAAGTAGCGGAACAGCTCCCTCTTCTGGTCATATTGTGTGTGTAGTAGTAACAGTAACAGTCATTTGTACTGAGAACATCAGAGTAAATCATGTAAAGACGAAGGTGGGGTTTTTTTTCATGCCTGCTTTAAGCTTCTCATAATTTTTATTTATTTATTTTATTTATTAAATATTTTACCGGGTCAGTCAGTTGAGAACACCTTCTCATTTACAATGACCAAGAGGCAGAATAAAACAGAAGCACAAACAGAAAACACTGATCAACTATAACATGAAACTGTGAATAGAGATATAAGACAATTAAACATTTGCAGATTAAAGATCTAAAAGTCTTAAAAACATGTGCAATTATCCTGTAAAATACTCTGGATGGAGTTTTTAAAAGTCCACAGGTAAAAACTAAGTTTTAAAGTCTGTTGCTGTTGTTGGTTCCAGTCATTGCTGCAGAAAACTGAAATGAGGAGGGGCCCAAAGCTGTGAGGACTTTAGGAATGACCGGGGTCACATCTCTGCTGGAGCGCAGTGTGCATCTGGAGCTGTGGATGTGCAGGAGCGAGCTGAGGTAGGACAGAGTTTTACCAATTAAACATTTATAATTGAACAGTAACCAGTGTGTTTGTGTGCGGTGTGGAGAGAGGGACACTGTACTTCAGAGTCAAGTGCAGTGTTGGTAGTGAATGGTGCATCTGTGACAAAGTGTAGGCTGCAGGATAAATCACATGGAGCTTATGGAGCAGTGTTTTTGATGCTGAGCTGTAAACTAAGTTTCCATAGCCAATGATCGGGAGGACTGTAGGGGAGAGCAGGCCACAGTGGATCAAGGGGCACAGTGAATCAGTGGTTCTATTTTTATTTTATGCAAAGGGAATTCCTCGGTGGTAGCAGTACTAGAATGTTTGGGGAACACCAAAAGGTGAGTGAAAATATGTTTTTCAGCATCAGAAGTAAAATACTGAGTTAGTTTGATATTTGTGATTATGTAGAGCTCATCCAAGAATAACTTGTAATTCAGGTGTTGTAATGAGCTGCAGCCTGGATGAAAGTGAAGCACATGGAGTTTCTATGCAACAGTTGGTCATTTGGTAAGTAGGTCATCTGATCTAAAAAGAGTTCATTTGGGGCACATTGGATCACTCTTGCTTGTGATTCACTGTGCTCCACTCTGTTTTTTAACTTTATATTGACTCTAACATAATGACAGATCAGGGGCCTCATTTATAAAAACTGCGCAGGAGTTGTCGTAAGTTAGTGCGTACGCCTAGTAGCGACAAGGCGTGCGCCACGCAAACTCCATATTTAGAAAACCCACCGCACGCACCAAACCACGCAATCTTTGCTTTATAAATCCCACCTGCAACTACAATTTGCGCACGTAAACCTACGTCACGTCACGCCCTCTCCACACCTCCACCTCACCATAAAAGGAGCATGTAAAGTGACTCGTGAATGACATTTCCCTAAACATGAGCCGATAATCAGTGGGTTTGACCGAGACACGCGGGACAGAGGGAGGAGGACGCTCCACACAGCACCACGCAGCACCACGCAGTTACGTCAAAGACTTTATTAAAGACTTTATTAAACAAGGATTAATAAATAAATACAAAACTAAAAGTGACAACAATGACTCATCTGTTCATTTAATCATTTTTTATAATATTTAGGCAGCACATCTTGGCAGTAAAGCCCATGTGTTTTTTCGCTGTTTCAAGAGTTTTATCGCTATATTTTTAAGTCTGTCTATGAAGTGTGTGAGGACTGGCCCTGTATATTTAATGTATAAATAAATATATATATATATATATATATATATATATATATATATATATAATATATATATATATATATATATATATATATATATATATATATATATATATACGTGCACGCGCTGATCTGAATGGTCAAATTTTGAGCGCGTGCGAGAGATTCAGATGCCCTCCCCTGTAGAGGGAAAGGAGCGAGGGAGGGACACGAGGATACGAGGACACAGATTTAGCACGAAACACATCAGATGCAGATGTTATTCTGCCAATTAAAGTCCACACGAAACATCCAAACTGCTGAACCTGTGAGTGTGGGTCTGGGTCTGTGAGTGTGGGTCTGGGTCGGCACGGGCACGGGCATTATTCTGTTCTTCATACAGTCAGAGAGCAGCTCTCATGTACAAGAGTTCTCCATTACACAGAAATGTAGGAAAGATTTTGGTTGGGGTCAGGTTCGGGCAGTAGGCTTCGTGTTGTCCGCAGACTCAGGTCACTCTGGCGCTCGGTGCGTAAAGACTAAAGTAAAAGTGTTAAAGTTGCGTTCATTAAATCAAAGCCTGGCTCCTGCTGCGTCCAAGGGAAGAGTTGTTCTCTCAGGTCGGGTCATTATTTCGTCCTCTGTGTCGGTCACAGTCTGTGTTCTATAGAAGTCTATGGTCGCGGTGTGGACTGTGGGACTCTGCGCTACACCGAGTCCGGGAACGTGGCCGCGTTCGTGCACGAGTGTCAAATGTATAATATTGTGGAGAATAATGAGTGGAATAAACAGCCCTTCTCCGTATTTTGTCGAACCAAACACTTAAATGCGCAAATCAGAAGGTAATTCTTCTTTATACGTGGATTTTCTGATCAAACACTTCCTCAAACTCTGTTCACTTCTGCTTCTCTCCACGAGTGTCGCTTTTTCCCCGTGTCTCCAGACTTTGCGTAGAACTTACAGGAGGTTCCCGAGTTGGCGTAGAGTTAAGCAAAGAGCCACGCCTTAGGCGAGTTTTATAAATACCGCGGTTGGCGTAGGAAGCGCGCACGCACGGATTTTTGCGTAAGCAAGCTTTATAAATGAGGCCCTAGATCAGTTCTTTTATACCTCTCTCATTCACTGTTTAATTTCCAACTGTCTGTTCATTCAGGATTCTAAAATGTTATTTTATTAGGTCTTTCATTTTACAGTAAGGCCTGATAGTTTAAATGCTCGTTAGTAAGGACCCGAAGCAGTTATTTGAAACTTAGTAGCATTTTTTTATGGACAACACACAGCATTACTTACTTATAATAAAAAAAGAAACTATACTATCATTAGCCTGTGTTTCAGGCTGAAAAATAACTTTTCTGATCCACTGTGCCCCGGTCTCCCCTAGTTTTGACCAAAAGCTCTTTTGCGGGGCATCTCAAACCTTTTTTGATGTCGATACAGGAAACTTATTCTTAGTTTGGCTTTAGTGAGCAGACTGTGAATGTGCCTTTCAAAATTAAATGAAGAATCAAGCCACACACCTTGGTACTTGTAATGACCGACAATTTGGATCTCTGAGCCGTCCGAGGTGATCATTTTATGTGAGCTCTTGGTCTATGGGAGGTTTCTATTAAAGATCATACTAATCCTGTTCTTCTCTTTTGAATATGATTACAAGGGATTTATTTCTGTAAACACAAAAAGAGAGATGAACACTGGCGTTAACATGACTCAAGACTCCGGCTGTTCTTATTGTTTTAGAATTTGAGCATTGTTCAACATCAACCACAAAATGGAGCCACTTGTACACTTCTGTTGCTTCTATACACTTGACTGACTGTTACGACCCAGCTCTGCTAGGGACAGGGGGAAGTAACAAAATAACCAAGGTTGAAAAATGGTAAAACTAAAGTTGTGATTTATTTAACAGAATTGTAAGGTAAACCAAACAAAACAATGATTCTTACAAGAATTAACAAAAAGAGGCTCTAAACAGAGTGGCTAACAATATAAGGAAAGATAAGAAAACCAAAACGGGGTACACTAAATGAAACAGAAAAACAAAAAAACAAAGTCACTAGGACTCTAGTATCTCAACAAACACAGCACGAGAGACACAAAGATGGCAAGCAAGTCCACAAACAGAACAGCTGCCCAGAGTGGCAGGGGGCGGGTCCTTTTATAGGGCCGGAGCTCCAGGTGTAGGCCTGGGATTGGCCAGGTGTTTCGGGTTCCACCATTCAGCGGGAGGGGCTCCAGATGCCATCTTAAATCGATTCCTCCAATCACAGCATCACAGCGGGGGTCTGTATACGGAGGCTTGCAAACACACACACACACACACACACACATGGATCTAGGCAAATATGGCCAGGAGGATCTGGAGGCCTGTGGCCGTAACACTGACCCTGATCGAGTTTCCAAGTGTGTGTGTAAATACAGTTTATTCACATCACAGTTAGAGTCTGTTTATAGGCCTGTGTTTGATGTTAGATGATGATGCAGTTAACCGCATGGTAAGGTAATAAAAAATAGACTTTATACATGTATTTGGAACATTTTAAAACCATCATATTTGCATCAGTTTCACCAGAATTATCTGTAGGTAAATGTATATGTAAAGTGGTTATATGGTTTCAGTCCATCGACCTCTGGGTCATGGGCCCATCATGCCACTCTGAGAAATGACGTCGACATGGTTTCATTTTTTTGGTAGTTTTGAGTGGCATTTGTACAAAACTGTTCTTAGGTCCTGTGACCACAACAATGAACAGAACAGAACACTGAGAGGCTCCTGACTCTGCTGCTGCTGCACAAGTCGAAGTTATAAACAGTGTTGGGGAGTAACAGATTACATGTACTGGCATTATGTAATCAGAGTACAAATTATGAGTAACTGTATTCAGTTACAGTTACTGTTTCCATGAGTGGTAATTACATTACAGTTACTTTGTTGAAATAAATGGATTACATGGTGGTATTTTCCTGTTTTCACATTTTGGGCTAAACCAGGACTAAACCAGGACCAAACCAGGACTAAGCCAGGTGTAAACTAGGACTAAACCAGGACTAAACCAGGAGTAAAACCAGGTCTAAACCAGATCTAAAACAGGACTAAACCAGGACTAAAACCAGAACTAAACCAGGACTAAAACAAGGACTAAACCAGGACTAAACCAGGACTAAGCCAGGTGTAAACTAGGACTAAACCAGGAGTAAAACCAGGTCTAAAACAATTCTAAAACAGGACTAAACCAGGACTAAAACCAGAACTAAACCAGGACTAAAACCAGGTGTAAACTAGGTGTAAACTAGGACTAAAACCAGAACTAAACCAGGTCTAAACCAGGACTAAAACCAGGACTAAAACCAGAACTAAACCAGAACTAAACCAGGTCTAAACCAGGTCTAAACCAGGACTAAACCAGAACTAAACCAGGACTAAAACCAGGACTAAATCCAGGACTAAATCCAGGACTAAATCCAGGACTAAACCAGGTCTAAACCAGGTCTAAACCAGGACTAAACCAGGACTAAACCAGGTCTAAACAGTATGACACAAACAGTAGGTGGACATAATTTAAAGCAGCAGTGATCTCATATAAAAATTATTTCTGTATCAATAATATTTTTAGTACAGTTAAGTAAAGATTGGGCTTTTTATTGTCTTTAAGCAGATTTATCTTATATTAAGATTTCCTCGTCTTTGTTTCTATACAGTGAAGGCTGTACCAAATGGTGAAGTTTCTTGAGTGCATCACATGGGCATATTAAACATTGAATTGATATATTTGTTTGACTATTACACATTGAGTTGTTTAACCACTGAAATCTTATGGATGT